CCACCCTAACCTTAGAAGTTTACCTCCTATGTAGAATACAATACTAAGAAATGGCAGCAGAAAGCCCGGTAGTAAAAAACATATATACCACAGTTTCAAAGTTTATACAAAATTTGGGAAAATTCAACAAAATTTCAACTTTTTAATCTGAATCTTTACATTTTTGGGTATTTTCGTCGTTGGTTTTGGTCATTCACACTCGTCTTTAATGGCGTGAAATTCTAATATCAACCAACATCAATATTATTTTAGTCTTAAATAACTGGTCGCAGTTTCTCCATATGTAATTGCGACTGCTACTTTTTCACATACAACGTTTATGCATAAGTCCATTTACGAAATCATTTTATGAATTTGGGTTAGAGTTGTCTGCATAAACACAATTTCATGAATTTAATTACAGTAAAACCCGCTTAAGTATCTCACGAAAAATTTCGGCTTTTTGAGGTACTTAGGTAGGTTGGGTACTTAAAAGAACCCGCTTAAGTACCTCGATGCGGGTACTGTTAACTTACATAGATATGTAAATCCATGAATATTTAAAACATGAACATTTAATGAAGTAGTAGTGTAGTTTAAAAGCAAGACCATAGCATTATTTAAGATTTTTCAATTAAAATACAGCTCATTCCCTAATAAATACCATATAAACCTAAGCTTAAAATTTTATAGAACACTTAAAGAAAAAAATTCACCAAAATTTAAAATGTTTTTTCTCAGAAGTGTTTTTTGAGTATACAGTCCTATAGCCCATTCAATTTTAGTGTAATAATGTGCAAGTTTCATGTGGCTAAAAATTACCGTTGGTTTTTTATTCAACAATTTTTATTGAGCTCGAGGTCGTTTTTATATGAAAAACTATTGTGGATAGGCAACAATAATTTTTATTTTTTGCAAAAATGATAGAAGTGATAGCTATTTCGGTTGATTTTTTATAATTTTTCCCCGAATTTCAAAATATGTAAATATTTCAAGGATTTTTAAAAGAGCACTTAAAAGGGTAAAATTATAGATAAAATGGTATAGGTACATGGGGTACGACAAATTTAGGTACTTAGGTGGGTTGGGTAAATAAGCGGGGAGGTACTTAAGAAAGGGATTTTCTTCAGATTACATTCAAAAATTCACATTGCCCAAAAATGTTGGTTACTTAAGCGGGTTAGGTACTTAAGCAGAGGGGACTTCAGCAGGTTTCACTGTATACACGAAAATTAACCATGAATTTCGGCATCATTTCATGAACTCATGAAGTGCTAGTCCGGCAACCCCGCGTTTCACAAACAGCTGTTTACTAGGGTATGACGTTTTTAGATACAAAAGTATGTAATGGCATAACCGTGATTTAAAACACTGGAAAAAGTACGTGAATTTGATCAAGTATAAGATACTAGTGAACCCGCATGGCGTTAATAAGCCCAAAATTGAATTTCAAAAACTTAAAAAATATTCCAAATGTTAGTCAGAGTTATAAGAGATTCGAGTGCCACATTTCATCTAAACCGTGCAGCCGTTTCTGAGTGAAGAGCAGTCTTGCATAGTTCATGTTTTTATTTTCATCGAATTTCAATTCATAATATAACGGAAAAAAAAGCTCTTAGTTAAAAAAATAAAACTTTATCATACATCTCATACATCTACAGGTTAAGGCTTCTAATTTCACCTCTCATTTTTGAGATTCCTTTTCAAAAGTATTCTTAACACAAAAATCTCTTTTATCTGTTATTGTGATACACATGTTCGAAGAAATGGCAACCCTCCTAAATAAAGGTCAGGAATAAATACCTTTCAAACCCATTTCGATTTATACCCATCTTTAAGAAATTCATCCACCTTAATGTAAAGGTAACTTTTTGAAAACGCGGCAACTCTCTTCAAGCTAAAGATTTCTTAACATTCTTTTGTTTGACTACGGTACTTTTATATTTCAAATACTTTTTGAAATAGTTAATTGAAACATGTGGCAGCCATTTTCAAAATTATTTTCAAGCTTAATTATTGTTAACTCTCCTTCGCCGGACACTACGATACATATTTTAATTAACTGATGAATTAAGTGGTATTTTAATTTTCAAACATGTGGCAACCCTCTTCCAACACCTCAAAAATATTCTTAGCGTTCAAACTAAAGATTTCTTAAGACTCCTTCGTTTGCCATCCATATATTTATATTTCGTATAACTTATGAATAAGTAAACTAAATTCGACATTTCAAACAGGTGGCGACCCTCTTCAAAATATTTTCAACCTACTACTTTCTGAAACTCCTTTCGTGAGTCACCCATAGACGATACATATTTCTCTTACCTAATACAATTTTTTCAACAGGTGGCAAGCCTCCTATAATTCAACTAAGAAACGAAGCCCAGTTTGTAATAATTGATCTATTTTTTTTAATAATCTGGCAACACTTTTCCAAAAAGTAAAACCTTATTGCACATCTACAGTCCAAAGCTTTTAGTTTGACGCCTCGTTTTGGAAAATCGAACGAACAGTGCAGATTTGATGGCCTTGGTTATTAAATAAATTGAATTTAGTTTTTTAACAGGTGGCAACTCTTTTCAAAAAATTAAACCATTTTGCACATCTACATGCCAAGCGCTTTAATTTGACATCGCATTTTTGAAAATCGGGCAAACGGTACAAATCTTTTATGCTGCATAAAAAATCCCTTCGCGTATTATATATCAAATAAAACACCTCTTTGAGGTAAAATTTTGGAGTGACGAAAGCTGAACTAGAAACAAAAAATTAATGATATCAATTTCGTGACGAAAATTATACGCAAGACGAAAGTTTGTACCAAGTTGATAAGTTTTTATCATTTCTCATATTTTTTATACCCGAGCGCACTTGTGCACAAGGGTATTATAACTTTGTTCACATAACGGTTGTTTGTAACAGGCAAAACGAATCGAGATAGATATAGACAAATGTATACATAAATGATCAGAATGAAAAGAGAAATCGATTAAGCGGTGACTGTCTGTCCGTCCGTCCGTCGGTCCGTCTGTGCACACGATAACTCGAGTAAAAATTGAGATATCTTAACGAAACTTGGTACGTGAACTTCTTTTGGGCGTAGGACGGATGGTATTGAAAATGGGCGAAATCGGACAATAACCACGCCTACCTCCCATATAACGGTAATTTTAAGAAATACGAAAACTGCGAAAACTTAGGCTGATTGCGAACGCTCCGTGGTATATAAAAAATGTTCATTTGCATAAAGACCTTAAAATACCTATGATTGTGGACGAGATAAAAAATTACAGTACGAGTTATGTTAACCGACTAAGCTGCCATCCCAACATACACGCAATAAACTTATTAAATAACAGTCAAGAGACGCGCCGACTGCGAAGGCTGCATCCCCTAGGCTTACCCTTTAGATCTTAAGTTTAATATACAAAATACATTAACTGACATGTAAATAACTCTAATAACATAATTATCAAATTGTTAAGTAACTTACTTGAATTTACATAACATATGTATGTATGTTAACTTTGAAATGCCTTTAATCTATTAAATGGACAAATTGCAATTACAGCAACAGCGCCATTCTTATATATAAGTAGTTATATAATCACATTTACTTATTGTCAAACGACAGATTGTAAACAAGTAATTTTTAGCAAAAAAAAACCGACTTCAACTCTCATATATAAAATATATATATATATATATATATACATCTCATGATGCGCTGATCGGATCTTAACCAGATTAGTATGGGACCACCTCTGAGACACTACCTTTCCGATGCACACTACCCTATCGAAATCGGTTGACGTGGTCCAAAGTTATGCGGTAATATACATAAAAAAAAAAAAAAAAATATTCCGACGAACTGATAACCTCCTCCTATTTTGGAAGTCGGTTAATAAAGAGAGAATCACAAAACCCAAAGTGGAGCCACGGGCAAACCTACAAGTTTGGCAAGGAACCTTTTGATAATACTGCAAGCTTACATAAGGAGCTATATGAGAAGTTTGGTAAGTAGCCTCGCGTTTTTCTTATACTTATTACTTATTGAGTGCATTCAAGATCACTGTCTTCACTTCAGTTGTGGGATTGCTTCATAGATGATGAGGTACTTATGCTTGTTGTAGAAAGCACAAATGAGTATGCTGCACAAAATAATGATCCTGAATTTGTGACAACAATGGACGAAGAAAAGAGTTTCCTTGGCATTTTGTACATTACTGGCTATCATACCTTGCCTAACATACCAGCATATTGGTCTAATCGGGAATCTCTAGACTGCGAATATATAAAGAGATCTATGAGCCGTGACAGATTTAAACAAATCAAGAAATATATACACGTTTGTGATAACCAAAACCTTCGGCCGAGTGACAAATTTGCTAAAGTATCGCCGCTCAATGATACCTTGAATAAAAAGTTCATGCAGTTCGGCGTATTCTCCCACAATTTAAGCATAGATGAGCAGATGATCACTTATTATGGACGTCATTCGTGTAAAATGTTTATAAAAAGCAAGCCAATCCGATTTGGGTACAAATACTGGTGTTTGACATCGGACGATGGCTACTGTTACCAGTTCATACCGTATGCTGGTGCAGCTACAAAATTCAGTAATGATTATAGCCTTGGAGAAAACGTTGTTCTCCAATTATTGTCCCATCTCGAACGTCCCGAGAACCACAATGTGACGTTTGATAACTTTTTTACGAGTTATAAGCTGATGCGTCGCTTGAGGTGTAATGGGTACTTCGCAACGGGTACTGTGCGTGATAATCGAACTAATTATGCTCCTCTGGTGTGCACAAATAATATGAAGAAAAGACCGAGAGGCAGCTCTGATTTCGTATTTGATAGAAATAGCGAAGTACTAGTTACACGCTGGAATGGCAATTCGGTAATTTCTCTATACAATAGAGTTGTTTAATTTTTTCTGTTGTATAATATTCATTTCTTTTGTGATAGGTTGTAACTATTATGCCAAACTTTCTTAAACATGAGACACTACGCCATGTTAAGAGATATGATCGCAAAGGCAAGAAAATGATTACTGTTCGCCAGCCGTTGCTCATTCACGAGTACAATCATCGCATGGGTGGCGTAGACTTGTTCGACAATGCTATGAACAATTATCGCATTAAAATTCGTGGAAAGAAGTGGTATTGGCCATTGCTAACGAATGCTTTTGATGCAGCTAATTTTTAATGCCTGGAAACTGAAATTTTTTTGTGCAAAATATGAAAAGTCCAAGCCGATGAATCAATTCGATTTCCGTGTGGAAGTTGTGGAAGCTTTGGTACTTGATGTACGTACTTTTAAACGACGAATAACCAACCGAGATGGAGGCCAACGAACAGACGGTTTGAATCACATTGTAGAAACATGTTGAAACTCGTCAATGCGGCATAAAAACTCAACTCTAAAAAACTGTTTTTCTGACTATCACAATGCAGTCGAACCCGATGCAAAAAAGATAAAAAGATCTCATTAATAAATATTTTATAATAAATGATATATTTTATATTACTTATTTGCTTTTCTATAATAAAAAATACAGAAGGACCTCCATTTTTTCTTTCTAAAAAAGTTATGTGAAAATCAATATAATCTAATATTTTATACTCTTTTCGCCGGATGGGTATTTAAATACTCCCTCCAAGACATAGGACCAGATTCCCAGTGCGTTTGCGTGATCAAGTTTTTGGTTCCTCTTGTGTTTAGAGAATACTATAGGCAAATTGATCATGTATTTTGACCTTGTTCTACTAACTTTTAAATTTTATACGAATTGGCAAATATTTGTTAATTTTTTTTTATTTACCATATTTGACTAAAAAAACGGCAAAAAACATTCGGAATTCAGGAACATTTTATAGAAACAGTAACTTACACCACAATTTCGTAACCTTGCAAAAATAAATCAGTGTCATAGCTGTTACGGTTTCCGAAATATGGCGATTTGGATGAACCCTGTTTTGGGGGTATTTAAATACTCCTTCGTCGTTAATGGGTTAAGTGGTGAAAACATAAGTTATTATTATTTGTTATCTTGATTACAGTTAGTTTGTTTGAAATTTATAGATATTTCACTCTATTTACTTCTTTTGGCTGAACGATCCATCTCCACGATCATATAACCTTTCGTTTGTTTTTCACGATTATCGCCTCTACTACGATTATCGTCTACTTTTCGTGTTAGAAAATTGCAAACTAAACGAAAGCAAAGTAACGATCTACTGTTGTGTTGCTAGACGAATTACAAAGAACCAAGTGACGAACGATTCGTGTGGCAGACAAAACGAACGCTCGTTTCGAGATATGTGATGAGGCTGTATAGATATGTTTCAATAGACACATCTATTTGAATAAATCATTTAGATGTAGATAGCGTTGTAATTTATTTGAGAAAAATAAAATATTTAAACATAATTATTGTATGGATTACACTGGATCAGAAATTTTAGTTTTGCTTTTGTTCTCCAGAGCCCACTTTCCAATTGTTATGTAGAATTGCTCGGTCATTCCGAAAATCGAGCTAATTTTTTTCCATGGATACGTTTTCGAGATATTTGCAATTTACCGTTATTAAGCCAAAAACTTAATCACGTATATCTTACGAACCAACTGAAAAATCATAATACGGCAAATGAAAGCCAATGAAATTCTCCACAAACCGTATATATGTACATCACTTTTCGATAGGCCTGCTAGTTTCTGAGAAATTTATTAATGACACCTGATTTTTCGTTATTTGATGAAAAAATTAAAAAATTCAAACTTTAAGAGAGGAAAAATAAAAAAGCGACTGTTTGGTTTTTTTTTTTAACTAATTTCATAGAAGTGCAATGGGGTATAGTCGTTGCGCTGGGTATGCAGTTACAGTTGCATGCCTATACTCAATCCCGACTCTTGCGTCCTCGTTCGCGCACTCTGGGCAACGTGAGCAACCCATCTGCAAGATACGGTAACCAATCCGAGTGGAGCCTTGGGTCACGGCAGAAAGAGACGGAGTTTAAGGGCTCACTGAAGTCTGCAGCGTCTGCTCATCAGAAAGTGCGGCTGCAAGCGGGTGTTTGCTTGCAGCAAGCGGCTCGTTATATAAACGTGTACTTGGTTGCGAAACCACCCCCGTCCCAGCAATGGTTGTGCGCTGGGTTTGGGTCCCGCCACGTAAAAACCACTTCAAGTGAAGAAGCAAGGCAAAGCCTCAGGGGGGAAGAAGCCTCTGCCCGGCTCGTTGATGTCCTCGTAAAGACAAAAGCTGATATCACCGCCATTCAAAAAATGCGTTGGATGAGTTGGATTTGTCGTGGGAGAGCGACTCCGTCGCCGAGTGCTGTCGTTTAAACCGGTGGACGAGCGTCTAGCCACAATCCGCATCAAAGCGAGATTTTCCAACATCTCGCTCGTCTGCACCCATGCCCCGACGGAAGAGAAGGATGAGGCATCCAAGGATCTCTTCTATGAGCGCTTGGAGCGCACGTTCGAGCGCTGCCCCCGTCATGATATCAAAATCGTGCTTGACGAATTCAATGCAAGGGTGGGCCAGGAAGGGACCTTTGGAACCACCGTTGGAAAATTCAGCCTCGACGAAGAAACTTCCGACAATAGATTGAGGCTTATCGACTTCGCCGGGGCCCGAAACATGGTAGTATGCAGTACCAGATTCAAGCACAAATGTTGTGATTGACGGAAGGTACGCTTCCAGTGATTTAGACGTACGCACACTCCGAGGCCCAAACATCGACTCGGGCCACTATTATGTTGCAGCCAAGATACGCACCCGTCTCTGTGCAGCAAAAATGTGCGCCCAAACAGACAGCCATTGCTTTCGCTACTCCACTCTCACACCTGCTCTCTGAGAGCACTCTTCAAGGAGTGTTCGAGAGAAAGATTTTGCGGACGATTTACGGGCCTTTACGCGTTGGCGACGGCGAGTACCGCAGACGATGGAACGATGAGCTGTATGAACTTTACAATGCCATGGACATAGTGCAGCGCATTAAAATACAGTGGCTCCTCTGGCTTGGCCATGCCGTTCGAATGGGCACCGACGCTGCAGATCTGAAAGTATTCAACTCGGAACCCGCTGGTGGTAGCAGAGAAAGAGGGAGGCCCCCACTGCGATGGAAAGATCAGGTGGAGAACGACTTGACTTCACGTGGCGATTCCAATTGGCATCAGTTGGCACAGAAGAGAAACGACTGGCGTGCTTTGCTGAACTCGGCCAAAATCGCTTTGGCGGTTACAGCGTCAAAAACGAAGAAGAAGAATTTCTTAGAAACTATCAAGCCTATCGAAAGTTCATGTATATGCGGTTTATGGAGAATTTCATTGGCTTTCATTTACCATATTGCGATTATTCTATTGACTCGTAAGAAATACGTGATTAAGTGGAACCACTCGTTATTTAAGTTGAATGACGGTAAATTGCAAATACCTGGAAAACGTATCCAAAGAAAAAAAATTTTACCGATTTTCGGAATAACCGAGCAATTCTACATAGGCATTGGATAGTAGCATCCAAAGAACATTTTTGCTGTAAACCAGTGTTATCGTTGATTTTAAATTTGTTAGCCCACAAATATCAAATAAAACGCCTCTCGGAGGTAAAATTTTCGAGTGGCAAAAGCTAAACTAGAAACACAAAATTGATAACATCAGTTTCGTGACGAAAATTATGCACATTTTTTTTAACTGCCTTGGATACTGGCGGGAAATATTTTAATTTATTCTACTTTTAGAAACACAAAATGAACAAGCAAGAACGTCTAAGTTCGGGTGGAGCCGAACATCAAATACCCGGCGCAAGTATTAAATATATATTTTTTCACCGTTCCGAAAGCTACCGCTAGGTGGTAAGCGGGGGTGTATCAATTTTGAGTAAATTAGCGTCCTTAAATTTCGAAATATTGCAGTTTCAACCATTTCTGAAATTTACCGTTATTTGAAAAGCGGCGTAATTTTACTCCGATTTCAGTAATTTTCAACGATTTGCTTTTATGTGGCAAGCACAATAAAAATACCGAGTTTGGTAGAAATTGGTAAAACGAATACCGATATGCATATATGTGATCATAAGTGGGCGGGGCCACGCCCATTTTCCAAAATTTTACCATAAACGTATTTCTTGGTAAAGAATTGTTGCAAGCATCAATTTTGAATAAATTAGCTTTAATATTTACTGATTTATCGAAGATTTTGTATTTCTCTAAATTACCGTTATATAGGACATGGGCGTGGTTATTGTCCGATTTTTTAAATTTTCGGCCATTTAGTATGTTGTACCAAGTTTGGAAGAAATTGGTGCAGCGGTTACCAAGATATACACATGTAACCATAAGTGGGCGTGGCTACGCCAATTTTCCAAAAATTTATAATATTCCTATTTTTCGTCTGAAAATTATTGTAAATATCAATTTTGAGTGAATTATCTTTAGTAGTTACTAAAATATCACAGTTTTCGTATTTCTGGAAATTACCGTTGTATGGGAAGTGGGCGTGGTTACAATCCGATTTCGCCCATTTTCAATACCAACCTACCTTGGATTAACAGAAACCTATATACCAAATTTCGTTGAGATATCTCAATTTTTGCTCGAGTTATCGTGTACACGGACGGACGGACAGACGGACAGACGGACGGACATACAGACATGGCTTAATCGATTTCTCTATTCATTCTGATCATTTATGTATACATTTGTCTATATCTATGTTATGTGAACAAAATTAATATACCCTTGTGCACAAGTGCGCTCGGGTATAAAAATATTTACCGTCAGCTTCCCAGGCACTTATAAAAATGCGTATAATTTTCGTCACGAAATTGATGTCATAAATTTTGTGTTTCTAGTTGAGCTTTCGTCGCTCGAAAATTTCACGCCATTTCCCTACCCATAGGGCAAGAATCTCTTGCTTATGATAAAATAATCGATTGACTTGTTCGGTTTTGTTATTCCATAAATAATATAACAATAATATTGATAAATTTTATTGAGCTTGATGCCGTTTTTAATGAAAAAATTGTGTTTTCTGTTTCAAAACGGCCTCAAGCTCGATAAAATTGTTGAATATAATCGATTGACTTGAATTCAATATCAAAAACCCCTTTGTTTGTATAGTTTGTATAGTTAATTTCTTGGTTGGGAAGTTATTGTCTAAGTTATTCATATGGTAACACTACTGTAGGGTGGCCAGATATT